CCCCCTATTTTTATCTTATAAATACCCCCTTTGGGTAAAGGAAAAATTGCTCCATTCTCCTTTCTTCCTTCTCCCTCTAACTTTCTTACAGTTGAGGCATTCCATTATTTTTTATAGGTGGGATCCCTTACACAAATTCAATGTCTCTCTCTTGTGTAGAAGCTAGAATTTTTCAGACTTCTCCTTTCTTTCTCTCTAATTTTTTTTCTTACTCTAGAGGCTTTACATTATATTTTGTAGGTGGCATCCCCTACCCAAATTTAATGCCCTTCTTTAGTGTAGAAGAAAAACTATTTCTACTTCTATTCTCTTTTTATCTATTTTTCTTCTTATATTAATGACATTCTACTTTCTTAGATAGGTGGCACTCCTATCAATTTTTGATGCCCCTCTTTTATGTAGAATAAGTCACAATGAGAGCTTACTCTCCCTCAATAAATTATCCTTGACATATGAAGATCAAATGCCTCTTATATTTTAGGGTTATTTAGGAGGAGGCCCAATGATTCTCAGTAGACTAAAAGAATTTTGATGTTGTTTGAGCGAAAGTCCATCGACGATCGATGATCGATGATCGAGTGGAAGTTTGATGTTGATTGATGGGTGGGTGGAGAGCTAAAGGAGATAATTGGAGGTTGTGCTGCTAATAGTAGTCAAGCGAGAAGTCGATGATGGCTGATATGAGGTGAAAGGTTGACAGCGAACATCGGGAGAAAGATCGATGATGGCAGGTGTTAAGTAGCATTTTGCTAAAGATAATATGCATCCCTTCTGATGTGTGCAGATATCAAACATCTCTTTCTTTGAAGAAGAAGTTATAAGAGATGCTTTAATATGGAGTAGAGAAGATGTCAATAAAATCCACCTAGTTACTTATTACTTGATGACATTAACTTATATGGATGATGCCGATGTAACTTTAATTTCATCTTCTTATAAAAATGAATGTATACTTGAACCTGATGTGGAATCTATATAACTCCAATGATATTGTATATGAAGTTGAGATTATTGTATGAGCTTGATGCTTGTTTTTCATTTCAAATGAATTTGCCCCTAAAAGGAAGCTAAATGGTTTATACATCTTTGAGACAAGCTTTAATAAATTGGCCCTCATATTTTTTGAGCTTTTTTTAGAGTGTTAAAGTCTTTGTATGAGTGATGACTTTATCAATCACTTACTTTCATAAAATCTATCTAGAGAGAATGTTGTCCACTCATAGCATTATTCGATGATATTCACCTATATGTAAGAGGTCCAAAGAATCCACCAAGAATGTATTTACTATCTAAGATTATATGTCGGAGATTCCACCAAGGATGTATAACATTTTCAAAGTTGTATGTCAGAGTATTGCTCGATGACGTTAACCTATATGAAAGAGGATGAGAGAGTCCGCCATGGATGTATGATCTATCTGAGATTATATGTTAAGGTACTACTTGATGACATTAACCTATATAGAAGAGGTCGAGAGAATTCACCAAGAATGTATGACATATCCAATGTTGTATGTCAGATCAATGCTCGATGAGGTTAACTTATATGGTAGAGATCGAGAGAATCTACAACTATATATGACCTATTACATGTTGTATGTTAAAGCGTTGCTTGATGACATTAACATATGTAGAAGATGTCAAGAGAATCGACCAATGATGTATTACCTTTCTGATATTGTATGTCAGAGCATTGCTCGATGACTTTAACATTTATGGAAGAGGTCTAGAGAATTCACCAAGGATGTATGACCTATTAGAGGCTCTATGTCAGATCATAACTCGATGATAATAACATATATGGAATAGGTCGAGAGAATCTACCAAAAATGTATTATCTTTTAGAGGTTGTATGTCAGAGCATTGCTCGATGACGTTAACATGTGTGCTATAGGTCTAGAGAATCCACCAAGGATGTATGACCTATACAAGATTGTATGTCAGAGCACTGCTCGATAATATTAACTTATATGGAAGAGGTTGAATTGAATCCCGCCAAGATTGATTTTTTCCTTAGTTGGGAGGGGGCGAATGTCGTGTATCTCAAATTAAATATGAAAAATGATCTATCTTTAGATTGTTACTATTTTTGAGATCAGGATTAAGATCTTGCCTAAGGAGTAGAAGTCCAACTATGGACTATATAAAGCTTAAAATTTATTGGAAGCATCTCTGTATTTGCTAAAAGCTTTATGATCCCAAGTTATCATCTTAGATATTATAAGAGTTGGATGACTCTTCTGACCATGGCTGTAGTCAAGGTTGCCCTCCCCAGTCCAAATTTAATTCCCATAAAATTGATGCAATAATAGTTGGTGCCAAGATGTTGATATAAATGACCTTTTAACGTTGGAGAAAAAAAATTTCCTCTGTCAGAAACCAGGTTCCCACATATGGCACCAAACTGTTGTGTCCTAGAATATTCATGACAGTAGAGAAGTTTAAATTTTAATGTCTTAGCTTTGTACGAATAACAAGAAAAAATGTAGATAAAATGAGAGTGTAATATTCATAAGAGACACAAGAGTTTTACACGAAAAATCCCTAAAAAGGGGAAAAAAACCCACCGGGCTTAGCCTTGTTTAAATGAATCCACTAGTATTTGTAGTTGAATTCAAATGAGGTCCTTCATTGGGGGGAAGGCCTTAGCTTGATGTGACAAATATACACCATATAGAGTGTGTTACATGGGGGAAATAGAAAGAACCATTTTTGATGTGTTCATTTGGTTGGAAGGACCATAGTTAGTAGGCGATGGAGGTTAGAAAGAATATTGTCTGGTGACGAAGGTCAGAAGGACTAAGTTGGTGGGAGACTGAGGTTGGAAGGAATGTAGTGGGCGTGCGACGGAGGTCTGAAAGATTGTTTTTTAGTGGAGGAGGTCGGAAGGACAATTGACGGGCGGAATTCTGGTGTTGGGTAGAAATCTGGATACGGGTAAAAATTTTGCATAAGGTAGAAGTCCGACAAATGACTAATGACGGGAAAAAGTCTGGCAATGGGTAGAAGTTTGGTGCCGGGTAGGAGTCCAGCAATGGGAAGAAATTCGGCGATTTGTGGAAGTCTAGCATCTGGTAGGAGTCCTTCAAAAATCCTGCGGCAGGTAAAAGTCTGATGACGCGTGAAAGTCCAGCATCATGTAGAAGTCTGACATTAGGTAGAAATTCGTTGAAGGGAAAAAATTAAGTATCTGGTGGAAGTCTAACGAAAGTCTTGTAGTGGGCAGAAATCCAACATCGGGTAAAACTCCAGCGACGCGCAGAAGTCTGGCTTAGGGTAGAAATCTGGTGATAGGTAGGAATCCGGTGAAAGTACAGCGATGGACTAAAGTCCAGGGTTGGGCGAAATTCTGGCGTCGGGTAGGAATCCGACAAAAGTCTAATGACGAGCATAAGTTTGGGGACAGGTAGAAGTCCGGCGTCGAGTAGAAATCCGACGACAGGCAAAAATTTGGCATCGGGTGGAAGTTTAATGAAATTCGGGCAGTGGGCAGAAGTCCGGTGTCGGCTGGAAGTCCAAGCTAAAGTTAGGGGGTGGTTGGGAGGAGTCTAGTGGTAAGATAACTCTTCCTTCTCTTCTTCTTTTGCCCCCCTCTTCCTCCCCATTTTTTATGAGGAATGAGGGGTCTATTTATTGTTTTATGAGAGTGATATGGCCAGTAAACTTATGCTCGTCATTAGACTTTTGTCGGGTCTATTTATTGTTTTATGGTGTCCAACCCGACGCCAGAATGAGAGTGGCATTAAAACCATAGAACTATAAATAGTTGGGCGAAATTCTGGCATCGGGTTGGGCGAAATTCTGGCGTCAGGCCTATTTATAGTTTTATGGTTTTAATGCGCTTTGGGTCTTTGATTTGGACTCATTTGGGCTTGGATTGAGTCAAATTTGATATCATTGGGTTCATATTTCCGAGACGTTCATTTCGACGGTAAGTTTTCTAAAATCGGAGCTTAGATAGTCTCTGATTTAATTTTTTAAATTTCCAACTTGATTTTGCCTTGAGATTCGTGCATGATCAAGATAATTTTTTGATGATATATCAATTACTA